GTGCCGTTAGTGCATGCGCCATGCTACGTCATTGCTCTATCACGTACGCACAGTCGCTTCGCGCAATATAAGGTTTGCTAGCTGTGGGACGAGTGGGAAACTTACTTTGAGGACGCGCCTCGTATTCTTGCGTTTCCAGAACAATCTCTGTTCTCATCCTCAGGGCTGCTGGGCAACCAGTCCGTTCCTTTGTTGTGTGCTAACTGATGGGAACTCCCATCAGCTAGCTGGTTACCCAGCAGCCCTGAGGATGAGAACAAAGATTAATCTCAAAACATTGTCAGAAAATATGGTTTATTCACCTTTCAGCACCTGACACGACTTGTAGCCCAAGAGTCTTTCATCACCTTCAGTCGCCACGAAAGCTTCACTTTATACAAATAAATTATAATTATAGCCGTACATTGTGCATAGATAAAAGGTGCACGTGTTTCAGTACTCTTGTCAATACTTGTGGAAAACCATGGTCTTCTGAGTTGTGACGATGAGTCTTGCAGGTGGTTAGCAACATCCTGAAAGATTGTTTCAACTCCACCTTCCAGGTGAAGTGATTCAGGATCGGGATGTGAGATGTTTCTATAGGCAGGCCAATGGGAGAGATGACAGACATCTCACATCCTAGTCGTAGATTCACTTCACCCTGGGTATCCACCTACAAGACCACATGGACCCAAAACCCTTGAAATCACAACAGACATCTTCACTACTATGAGAACCTTAAAACTTGTAACTTCCGGAAAAGTCCAGCTCCTGAGGGATTCATGGGTGGAAAGGAATTGTACCAAACAAAGACTTAATTTGGAAGTTACTTCACTGCAAAAGTTTTGGTAACAAATTGAATATGCACGGAGTCCAAAAATGTTTACGCCGTATACTTACGCTCTTCTGTCCCATCGAGCACCTTCAAGAAATAAGCCATTTACATACACGCCATCATTAGGTGAACTCGATACTGATTCAACAGACAGGATTTCAAAATCAAACTGAAGATGATATATAGATACTGAGTGCTTTCTAGCATAGTTCTGCATTGCTCCAGCGAGAAACGCTTGAGTGAAGAAGAATCCTGACAGCCAGAAGCAATGTGGCTTCCCACGAATGGCCCATGCCTAGAAAAGAAAACAGTTCAACTCTTATTGTTGTTTTTAAATTTATATTCTCATCATTAAGCACAGCATCAATCTCAGGGCAGTTCTTGTTGGGATTTTTGCCAGACGGAGTGGTAACTGGGGCAGGTTTTCTCCCAGTACTTACGTTCTCCCGTGAATAACAATTCCACTATATTCAGCGTTCTTCTGTAAACCATCCCTCAGATTTACATCATATATCACACACATTAGCTCCTGTCACAGAGTTATTTGTTTTAATATAAAATAATGTCAAACACTTAATCCTGATTGTGTAAATATTTGGTTTGAAAAAGGTTAAGAGGGTTAAATATCAGATGTTGTAACACATTCACTCCCAAGAACTCTGCTGCTGGCTTATATTTCAATCCAATCATCTTTAGCAGTACACTGATGTTTTGTAGTATTACATGGTAAAAAATAATTAATGGCAAATGATCTATATACATGTAAGGAATCACAGAATGTAGCCCCACCCACCAGCATCTAACATGGAAAGATAACTACATCCTCACAGTGAAATTCTGTCTGACCTAGGTCAGATATAGAAGTCTGGACATAATTTTCCCAAGATACTTCCACTGTATGTGAGTTGTCTGGAAGCCAAGCCTCTCCTTCTGTCTCTGACTTCTTCTAACAGCTCCTCCTTAAATGTTTCCTGCATTCTTCCTTCCTTCTGTGAGACGTCTTTCCTAACGTGTTTTCCCCATCTTGATCTTGTCTCCCTCTTGGACAGTTTACTTTTACATTCTGGACACAGTATCAGTAACCAACCAAATTTGGATATGGGAGTGAACATTTTAATAAATATCTTACTCCGAAGACTGTAAGAACCGAATGAGTAAATGTGACTGATACGGACATGTAGTTCCTCACCTCCAGAAACTTAATTCTCTCCAAGAAGTCAGCCACATAACTAGCCAGTGGCTTCAGGCTTGGGTACGAAACCTTTGTCCATGATTCTGGCACTTTACCGATCATCAGAGAACTGGAAATTGCTTCAAGGGCAGGTGACATTACTGCAAAACCTTTTATAGCTTTCATAAGTGCCTCTAAGTCACTGTACATTGTGGCTAACAATTTGTTGAAACGCCCCATTTCCTGAATTAGTACAGTGTTCATGGATTCTGTGTATGATACTGGAAACTTCTCCATTACCACTTCCAAATCAAAAGGAGCTGGAAGCTGAAAATAAAAACACATACAAGTACATGTCACAGATCTAAACATAGCAGTCTTGCTTTTAAGTATAGGCAGTAGAAATACATACAACAAAAATACATACTGTAAATGTATAGCACTATTTATTTATTTATTTAGTGTTCTGTCTGACGACAGGTCCATATGAACAGGATCCTTCCATCCTTTTCTCTTCTCGGACTGGGACCTGTTCATATACGTTCTTGGCAGATGATCCAGAAGTGTTTTGCCATTGCCTTCTTCTGTGTGTGAATGGAGTAATGGTTGGGGTGCCCCGGAGGAAAACTCCGTGTTGCCTAGACCACGGCCTTGCCCAACACAAGTTATAAATTCGGGCACCGCCGGGAATCGAACCCGAGACCCCAGGATTACAAGGCCAGCGTTCTAACCGGTAGACCACCGTGAGATGCTACCTCTTTCAGGTAAAGCTAACATCTGGCAGTCCTAAAACATCCAAATTCAACTGCGTTACACCAGTAACAAATTATTCTACTGTACCGTCTGGACTTCTGACTTTCAGAATATGAGTTTCCAGCTTCTTTAGATGCTGAATCCAACCCAATTTGAGGCTTTGTTTAAAGTTTCATAACACAGAAACATTTTTACAGTGAAGATGGCTGCATTCTGGGTTGTAACGCCGTGTAGTCTGGTAGAAGTTTACCGATGATTCAGAGGTCCATGCTGCGATGATCGCCCTGATGATGGAGGCAGCAAAGCAGCACTGATGTGAAAACCTCAGATCCTACCTAATTTTTACTGAGAGTTGTTATAACCTCCGACAGTCTGTTGGTTACCTGTTTCCACTTATACAATATATTTTTAACATGGTGACAAGGGAACCACTTATCACAGATGAAAACTTCTGCTTTCCTTAAAACAGACGTTCTTTGGGTTACTCACTCTGTGTAAAATATCTTTTGTAATTTCATGTAGAAATGTTTCTGATTTTCCTCCTTTTGGAGCGACAACTCCATACACCAGAGAAACAGAATTGAGAAACTGATTTTTATATTGCAGATCCCTGTTAATCCTTGCATTCACGTGCAAGCCGCACACTTCCGGTGGGGGATCTGTGGGCAGTTCCTGTAAAAGTGAATTTCCAATGTTAAGATACCAAATTAATAATATAACCTCTCTGTAATGAAATTTAGCACATCTATATTTCAAATTTTATTACAAGGGAGTTAGAAGGTTTCTAAAATATTTGGTGAGTTTGCTAAAAGTAGTTATAAAATTATTTATACAACAGTTATAATATCATCAACTAGAACATGAAATGGAAGTTCTTATTCTTATACAGTGTGTTCACCGATAAAGTTGAAGGTAGCTGTCACTTCCTGGCTTCAAACAGGAACTGCTATTGCATAAGTAAGTTCACTTCATTGTTTTTAAGGAGAGAGACTTAAATCATACAGGAAAAACCTTGTAGTGCCTGACGGCGAGCGATGCAGTTCCAGCCAAAAAGTGATATCTGTGTTAAACTTTATCAAATAACACACTGTATAAAATTATATATGAAAGTCATATGAATCCTAATGTGACAATGTCTCTCCTGTCCTAGTCTGCCTTTTGGACCCAAAAAGGGGTCTTTCTGTTGGCTTGGACATTCATCCATCTGTCTCTCCTCCCAATCTCAACCCTGGCTCTGATAGGCCAATTCCTGTGACCTGATCCCAATATAAACCAGCTACTTCCTGGAATTTCTCACTTCAGCCCTAATGATAGAGGCAGCCGGCAACAAGCCAACATATATGCAAGGACACGAACAATAATTCAGTCGTGTCAAAACTTAATGTTCGGTAATTATTTCTTAAAATATTATTCAGTCGATCTTTGCCTCAGAGACTACTTGCACATCTTAAGACACAAATTTGTGAATGTCATCCATCACCTTCACAATTTTCTCATTGGCAACACTTGCACTAATTACTGTGTCATAAAAGCATCTTTCTGCCAACAGTAAATGACCAGCGCAGTAAACTTCTACACAGAAAATACTGTATAATAATTTTGAATTATTCACATTTAGGTATTTGCAGGGCTGGAATATATCTCTGTATTAGAAAATAATCATATTTTGAATTACAAAACCCACACAAGTGCATATTTAAGGCTGGGCAATGATGTAACACTTAAAATCAGATGGTACTTTGAATTAACTGATACTGAATTAATAAGGCTTTACTGTATTAAGAGTTCTTGAGTCCCAATCATCAATTACGTGATAACCATAATTGCACTTCCCGGTAAGACACACAATGGCTTTAAAGGGGATATCTTGTTGCTCATTTAAGCAAACATACATACATACACTCATACACAACACTATGCATACCCACAATTTCAATTATATCATCATCATCATCTCCTACTGGGGATTGGGCCAATGGCCCGTTCCAGACAGTTGCTCAAGGCAACTTGTCCTATTAGTCTCTTTAGTTCCTGCCAAGCCAGCTGCCTCCAAACAATTTCTACTCATTCCTTATTTATCTGCTAGAGCCCTCTGGTAGCAAATCAGAAGAGATATGGGTGAGAAATGGCTGCTGAATTTTTAAGGTAGTATATTTGCGTCATATTGCGAATTAGGTTAATATTTTAATATTTTCCGTCAAATCACAATTTTAATAAGATAATAAAATATAAAATATTTAAAATATAATTCGAGTTTTAAATTTTACCAATCTAATTTATACCTGAGGACGGTTAAATATAACCGAAACATGTCGTAAGAGACGTTAAATTTTGTAAATCGATCATTCGATGCGGAACGTGAAATGATATTTTAAATATTTTATATTTTATTATCTTATTAAAATTGTGATTTGACGGAAAATATTAAAATATTAACTGCTGAATTTTGCTTATGAAACATCCCATTCATGCTTGTAAGGTTCTTTTACATGCCGTAAATCTACGACATGGGACTGTTGGCTTTACTTCCCCTCCGAAAGAAGTCATACTACGGATTTTTATCACCCTTAAAAATCCATTGACTTTGGCCAGGTTTGAACCCACAAACCTTGGGTCCAGTGGCAAGCTTGCTACCACTAGACCACCGAGGGAGATTGTTTTATATTAATTAAATATATGATTATGGGAAAAGGAAACAAAATGTTACATTTCCCATTCTAGAAACATTTTTGATGATGATATATTAGGAATAATAGCTTTAAAATGTGCTACATGAAGAATTTATTGCCCTCACCTTTATATGTTGGATGTAATGTCTGTACTCGTAGCGATCTGGGAGACCGTATGTTTCTCCTTCAGTGGAGAAGACATAATTATCATCAGTAATCAACTGACTACTGACAAAATCAGCAAGTACAGTACTGAGAGTTCTTTGGTCCCAATGATCAGCCACGCGACCGCCATAGTTACACTCCCCCGTGAGGTATGTGATGGCTTCAAACAGAATATCTTGTTTCTCATGAATGAACATCTAAAACAAAAGAAATACTGATTTATTTATATCAAATTTAATATAAGAATGCCAATGAAACAATGTGAAGTGGATTGAAAAACAAGGTTCTGCCAAATGTACAAACATTACTTAATCTTACAGTTCCTAGTTGTTTTTCACGCTCCAGCATGAGTGAAGAAAACCTTATGGGCCTGTACACGTCTGTCATATTTTCCTTACAATCTAGGTAACCCATGAGTTGGGTTCACTGTTGGATCACCAATATTCAACAACAGGAATTATGGCTATTGCAACCATGGTTTTCCCACCATTGATCATTCAAGGTCATATATATGAAATCATGCATACACCGCATGGAATGTAAGGCTTTAAGCTTCACGGTCATTTAAACGCACACTACTTTCACAGAGATACACAATTCAGACCTGTACTTACAAACATTTGCACTGCAACTCATTCACCACGGAACTAAATGCAGCCAACTACCAGTTTAAATAACAATATAAAGTAATATCTTCAACCAAAATTTCCTTACATCCCAACAGAGGCCACTGTTGGATTACTCTGTTGCAACAATAACAACCGAAGGTACTGCTGAATGATAAAAGTTGCAACTGGAACTGAGGTAACAAAAATCACCTAAAACCTCATCACAAGAATGACCTTGAATACCATCGTTCGACTTTTATTAATTAAGGATGACAACAATACTGACAAACCTGTAAGTGCTTGATGGATATGTTAATGTCTGATTCGTTAAAATCATATGGTGTGTTCCAACCAATGGAACCAAAGTTCCTTCTTTCTTGAACCACTGCATGGAAGAAGCAGAGGGCATAAAGCAGTCTGGTAAATGTCCTCTCCTTGCCCTCACAGCCATAAAAGAACTGAGGGTCTGTGATAGGATCTGAGAGATATGAGTGTAGGAGATTCTGCTTCAGACCTGCAGAGCACTCATTTGTCATCTTGATTCCAGACTGCAGAACTGAACTTGGGAACTGGAAAAAAACAAACGAGGCTGTGACTGAGAATGGCACATGACTTACGGCACTGACAAAGCACTGTTAAATCACGTTTATTTATCAATCTGTGTGTCTGTTGCATTTTGTCTGCACTATGAAGCAATCACTGTGTGCGCTGGAACCTGGGCAGTGGCACAAACAATACACACAACAGCTTTAGTCAAAATGCTGAAGTGGGGTTTTGTTATTGAATAATATTTATCTGTGTCTAACGGTGTCTTGTCAATATTCCTGGTGAAGCCCACCCATGGAATTAACCTTTTAAGTCCAAATTAAATGCTAACATATGATTATGAAGCAGCTAGAAATGTTTCAGACCTTTCAAATCTGACTGGATGAATATGGGGAAAAATTCTATATCTTCTGTACTATGTGACGTACTGCGTAGGTCAGTCAGTACAGTTACTGACTACTAACTGGATGACTGGGGTTCGATCCCTGATGGGGGCAGAGGGTATTTCCTCTAGCCTCTGCATCCAGACCGGCTTTCGGGCCCACCCAGCCTCCTATCCAGTGAGTACCGAACTCCTTTCCTGGGGGTAAAGCATGGCTGGAGCGTGATGCTGACCATTCACCCCCATCTAGTGCCAAGGTCAAGAATGAGTAGGAGCCATACCTCCTCTCCCCCCAAGCGCCTACATGGTGCACAGTGGGACAGCTCTCTATTTAGCACAGAGATATTATATAGAAACCATGTCAAAGAGCATGAAACATGTAATTTGTACATTAAAATTATAGTTGTCCTGCACAAAATGGATATAATTAAATTACTGATTCATTTACAATAGACTGCAATTTTTCCTCATTTATGTCAGTACAAGACACTCTATGATCCATTAATGGTTGAAAGATACATTCTATTTATGAATGAGCATGTACAGAACTGTACACACTGGCTCAAAGAATGTCTGACATGCCACACGCTGATATATGGCACGTACATTTCACTGTGACAAGGTCACTGTGCTTGGATCATTTATACAGAGAACTTGATGTGAATAATGTACAAACACAAAGATTGTGCATGCTCAAAAGATCGCAACAGGTACTACAGGACCCAAAATAAGCCATGTGACACTTACGAGTATAGATACTTTCAAAATTTTGCTTCAGTGTGTCACAGCCAATAACATGGTAGAATACACAGTAAGCAGTCACATTTTCTAGAGAGGTATTAGGTTCTTTCACTTTGATTTTGAAGAGCAGACCCTGCGCCATATCATACTTCATTTAGCGGCCCAATGCATTGAGTTCTTCGTTTCAAGTCTTCTGAACTGAGTGACCATATCAATTGTCTTCCACACACAATTCCCATGACTGTTATGTTCTAGTACCCAGAAGCATGAGGTGTCTCGTCGACTGCTCCTTAAATTTCCTATGGATCGCTGTCTCCATAGAAAGACGAGAGGATGATGACGGCACTACATGGATCAAGTCCGTGAGGCAGAAAACAACTTCTTTGTCCATTGCATGTCTGGTCCTTGTCTTAATACTGCAACTAATGGATATCTGGTCACTTCTGTTCACATAACCCACATGGGTATTGTAGTATTCGATGGCCAAAGGTTTCACAGTATTGCCAGATTAATCTCTAAAATTTCCTTCCTCTTCCCAGTATATTCACCTCTCATTTGTCCTTCAAAGACACAGCCTTTACTGCATCACCTGTCTTTATCTTCAGGTCCATTTGCCTGAAACTGGGTGATGTTCTCTCTGTCGCGGTGGAATCGCTGTAAAGTTCATATTGTCTATGCACAATGTGGGGCCCAATCCTTTCATATATCAGACAAGCTGCAGCACTGTGCCATGGGGAGGTGCTAAATTGGCCAGTGCAGACAAGTTCTTGCTGTTTACTGACCTACACATTTATGTTAAAAGTGTATCCTGTGTGCATTTTAATCCTTAATGGCTAACATAATTAATAGCAGGTTTGCTTCTATGTAAGAATGATTTCTATAAATATTAAAACTTCCCAGTCCACTGATATCAACAACAACAATCCTGTGAAACTTAAACCTTAAATCACCTTGTCAGACGGACAACTTGTAAGCCACAGCCTGAAGCTTATGTTCGTATTTCCTGTGTCCATCTTTTCCCAAATCTTTTCCAGTGTAGGCATCCAGGATGCAGCAAGATGGCAGTTTTGTAGACACACCCACTGCCCTTCTCTCTGGGCCCTTTCAATCATTGCTTGTGCAACTGGTCCCTGAAAACAACAACAAAACATCTTAAACCTTTTACCCCAAAGACCTAACTGGATCATGGAGAGTGAAGAAACAAAGTGAAGCATAAGATGTATGTACCTTGCAACCCACTATGCAGGTGCCATATGGCAAAAACATTATACAATAAACCTTAATTATATTCTAAACAATAATTTTGCCTGTTATTTTGTATGGGTGCGAAACATGGTCTCTCACTCTGATGGAGGAACACAGATTGCAGGTGTTTGAGAATTGGGTGTTGAGGAGGAAATTTGGACCTAAGAGAGAAGATGATGGGGCGTGGAGAAAACTGCATAATGATGAGCTTAAAAATCTGTACTCCTCCCCCAATATTGTCAGGGTGATTAAGTCGAGAAGAATGAGATGGGCTGGGCATGTAGCACGCATGGATGAGACAAGAGGTATGTACCGGTTATTGGTTGGGAAGCCTGAGGGGAAGAGACCACTGGGGAGACCTAAACGTAGATGGGAGGATAATCTCAGGCGGGATCTATGGGAGATAGGAGCTGAAGGAGACTGGATTTTGTTGGTCCAGGACAGGGTCCGGTGGAGGGCTTTGGTTAGTTCGGTCATGAACTTTCAGGTTCCCTAAGCCATCTAGTTAGTTAGTTATAGGTGTAAATCCTATCCAAAAACAAGTTTTAACAATTTACTTTTTTTCCTTTCATGAAGCAGAAAGTAATAAATTAATCCAATCATGAGGCTCATAATTAAAAACGTTTGTGACTATGCAACAGAAGTTTTAATGGATATTTGGTTTAGAAGCAGGTGAATGCAACAGTTGAGAAGTAGGACAAAAAGGCAATTGCATGAAGAGATGAAAGAGGAACATGATTCAGAAAGAAGTACTGTTTCCTGACAGACATTTATCCTGAAGTCACCAAATGCCATATTTGAACACAAAATGTTGGGAAACCTTCAGCATTCAATGTGGCTTATCCCTGAAGGTCACGTTATTCATTAAACTCCAGCTGAAAACCTAAGGACTATAAATAACCTTATTTCATTAAAATTACCTGTCCCTGTCCAAGGGATATGGACTGGAAACTTTCAGAATATCCCATTTTGTTAGCAAATGACATCAAGGCAGCCATGGGATCTGCTCCAGTTGACATTATGAATATCAGGGGGCAGAGGCAATTGGAATCATCATATGCTTTTGTAATATCAAAAGTTGGTGGAATCACATACTTTGTACCAAGTTCTACCTCAATGAACTTCTTAATGCATATGATTAACTGAAAGAGAGATACAGCCATCAGTTATAATTATCAACATACTTCCATTTTATTTCAAGAGTTTTTCACATTAGCATCTTGATGCATTATAAGGGTCTCTTGTTTATTTAGGTATAAGATTTGGTCCCTCAACTTAAGAAAATACACTCTACTCAACAGATGATTATATGTCTTATTAATTAATAAATTATGATGTTAAATTGTGTTTGTTTCCATGGAAAAATTATTTTCAGAAGTGTTAGGTTATGTGGAACAAAGATGATTCAAGCTATGTAAACTTTAGGTTCCTGTACCTTGCAGGTGTGTTTTATGTCTACATACTGACCAAAAGGGATGAATAAATAATTAAACTAACATTCTAACATTGTTTTATGGTGGCAATATCACACATTAATCCAGTCATTTCCAAAGTTCATACTGTGAGACATTTATCCTGTAACCTTCTGACTGGAGACCATAAAGTTTATAAAATCATTCTGGACTATTTACAATTAAATATTAGGACTGCACTAACCTTATCTGGATGGAAAAGTCTAACAATTATTAATTTCTGAAAACCAGACAGACATTTATTCCATGGATCTGGTAATTCAGCCTTATCTATGTCTGGGTAATCATAATACTGTTGCCATGCCTTTACTGCACTACTGAAACTCTCACGAAAACCTGTCAATACATTAAGTACAGTAAGTAACCATAATGCAGGAGATCTTTCACTCAGAATGATTATTACATAAAATCAATTGGCACAGTTTATTTGGAAACTCTGGTAGAAGGCTGAATGAAGCACACATGATTTTTTGTAACAACATTTGAACATGGCACATCATACTCGATAAGACCATGAATTACTGATTTACAAATTTAATCATTAGAAGCCAAATCTCTGAGATCTTTGAGAAACTGGGAAATAAATGTGGTTTATTTTATGAAACTTAATAGTTATAAAAATATGAAGAGGTGAGACCTACGCAGGGTGACGTGTGGTCAATGTTCAACCAAAGAATGAACTCCACTGTTTGTTTCTCAACAGAAATCCATTTTGCATCAAGATCTTTCCACCTCCATTTTACAAATTTCAAACTGCTGTATTTTTATTGCCTCTCAAGGATAATCAGAGCATGTTTGACAGTTGAACAGATTCTGGCATAGATTGTCTATTAAGCCATATTAAATACATTCTACTTTTTTCATATTTGAAGCAACCCAAGACTTAATTTCCATAAGGGCCATGTTTTGCTTAAATACATTCTACTTTTTTCATATTTTAAGCAACCCAAGACTTAATTTCCATATGGGCCATGTTTTGTTGGCATGACTGTCAGAATGCGTTTATCAAGATTCATTGTAAATAGGATTTGAGGTTTTCATGGTCATGAGTACAAAGATGGCTGTCTTCTGTGTTGCAGATCCATGTAGTCTGGTAGAAGTTTATCAACATTTTGGATGTCCTTCCTGCCTCCATTCCTCATGATGACAACATGGTGCTACAACTCGGAAGACAAGCACCTTTGTCCATCACAAACTCTGAGCTGTCACTGCTCAATGGTTCAGTAATTGACTTAACAAATTCAAGACAGCAATAAACAAACTATAGAATGAATATAATTCTTTACCCTCTTCTCAAATCAAGCCACATGACATCGAACAACACTCGCACACTAACACCGTGACTTTCCACGGCATAAAGTACTACCAAATTCAAGACAGCAATAAACAAACTACAGAATGAATATAATTCTTCAACCTTTTCTCAAATCAAGCCACATGACAACAAATAACACTCGCACACTAACACCGTGGCTTTCCATGGCATAAAGTTCTAAGATCTGAAGGTGGGCATCCAATGAAACCTGAAATGGTTCCATTGGCTGGGTGCGAATGTTGAAAACAGGATGCGAAGTCAGAAGGTGACCACACTCACTGATGGTTGTATCTTTTTACAGAATTGGTCTGGTTATTTGTCAGACATCAAACAAGAAACAAATGATGAAAATGCATAACAAAGATTAACCTACAGATCACTATATGCCTACAGCAAGGAATTAAGGTTACAAGACATTTCACAGTCTGGTTTCTTAACAGTTTTACAATGTGAAAACACACAGTCATATTTCTTTTTTCATAATACTGTACAGCTGTGGTAGCTCAGTCAGTAGAGTGACTGGCTACAGACTGGACGACTGGGGTTTGATCCCCGACAAGGGGACAGGATCTTTCCTTTAGCCTCTGCGTCCAGACTGGGCAGCCAGGGCGTGATGCTGACCACTCACCCCATCTAGTGCCGAGGTCAAGAATGAGTAGGAGCTATACCTCCTCTCCCCACAAGCGCCTACATGGCCTTTAGTGGGACAGCTTTACTTTTTTTACTTTACTGTACATTGTTTAATTCAATGCCATCAATCTCATTACCATAAACTTTTTCTAAAGCTCAAGAGCAAGATTTCCACATATTCCTCACATTTGCATGACCACTCTGTTCAGATCATTTTGATTTAACTTAAATGTATGTGCTGATGTTGGCCTTTGGGTAGTAATGTATGTAATTACCAACATTTTGGAGGAACATACTGCATCCTACCAACACCGACATTTTCACTGCTGTGAGAATTTAGATGTCATTAAATAGACATACTTACCTGAAAATGCAGGAAGATCATCCAGGTGACAGATTTCATCCCAAATCTTTCCAGTCAACCAACTGGGATCTGGGTTCGGAATTTCATTCTCTAAACCAACTCCTTCAGTGAGGAAGAACTTTAATTCGCTTTTATCAAGTTTTCCTGTAGATCTGGACATAAGAAGAAAAACTACAAATGTGTACATAGTGGCAATGAGAAATTCATAAAAAACCTTTGGTTTAAAACCTTGAAAGAAAGAGACAACTTTAAAGGCCTAGGGTTAGATGCGTAGACAATAATAAAACTAACCTTAAGGAATTAGGTTGGAATGATTCAGGATATGAACCAATAGCAGGTCGCGCGAAGATGGTAAAAAAGCTTTGGGTTGAATAAAAATACCAGTAGCTTCTCAAGAAATGTCTCTGTTCTATGGAATTAGTCACACATTAATAGAACTACTTACATCATGATTGTTTCACAATCATACAAGACAACAGGCAGCCATACTTTTACCTGTTGTCTTGTATGGTTATGAAACATGGTCTCTTACCTTGCAGGAAGAACGTAGATTACAAGTGTTTGAAAATAAGGTGCTCAGGAAGATATTTGGACTTAGGAGGGATGAAATAAGGGAAATTTAGAATATTGCATGACGAGGAGCTGCGTGAATTGTACGGGTCACCTAGCATAGTGAGGGTAGTGAAATCTGGGAGGCTTCGATAGGCTGGACATGTAGCACACATGGGGGGGGGGGCAAGAGGTGCACACAGGATTTTGGTAGGGAATTCTTCTGGAAAACGACCACTGGGCAGACCAAGAAGGAGATCAGAGGATACCATCAAGATGGATCTTAGGGAGGTGGGCTGTGAGGATGGCAAATGGATGTAATTGGCTCAGGATCGTGGCTGGTGGTGGGATTTGGTGTTGAACCTGTGGGTTCTCCTACCAGGGGGTAAGTTAGTTAGTTAGTTAGTTTACTTACATCATGATGTTTGAACACAAGATGAATGAGAACAGCATCTTGTCTTTATCAAACAAGGAGCAGCACAAATTACAGTACAGATTATATGTGAAAGCATCACGTAGGAACTCCAAGCGTCTCTCCACCTGCCTTGATTTGTTACTGAAATAAATGGAAGTAATTATTCAACACAAAGATGTAATTATTTCACACCACCATTGGTAATGTGGTTAACCAAAATTATGGACCACTGCTTTTGAACTGTTTTGGTGGACATCATGCAGTCAGCATTGTCTGAGTGCTAGGATCATTTAGCAACAAGTAAAAGGCAACATTTCAGTTGTGGTCTTCTGGTGTGACAACGTACTCTTGCAAGTGGTTCAAAATGTTTAAGAGGAACCTGGTGGCTTTATCATCAAGGTAGAACATCTGTAATCTAAAACTTCATATCTGTGGAACTTCAGACCTTACAAGAAACATTTTGTTGGCAGCCATTTGTACTCAATTGGGGCACTATGTCCATCCCCTGTGTTTTCAAAAAGAACGCTGCTTCCGTCGTTAAGTTAGAAAGGGGGAGGGGCACCTACTCAGTTGGGTCCAGTAGAAAGAACTAACCTCAATTATTGGACCTTTATCTTAAAATTATGATCTTCCCTGTTGGTTGCGAACCTCCCTTTTGACAAGAGGACTGCATATTGGAGAAATTTCTAAACTGGTTTGGATGATGGGATTATTTAAACCTGCAATATAAGCCAATTCCTTGTATTTTATAAACCTACTGTTACTTTCAATTTCCAAAACCCTGGCTTCATTCAACCTTACTCTATGACTTTCATAGGCATGTTGGGCCAGATTTTTTTTTCAAGAAGACCCCTGAGATTGTGCCTATGCTCGCGAGTTGCACGGCTAGTGGTCCAGTGATTGACGTTAGCTCATTCTATCAGACCCAACTAAGTAGGAACCCTCTCCCCTTTTTTAACCTGAGAACGGAAGCAGATCCAGCTTCTGAAACGTAGTGTTCCTTTTAAAAATACAGACGATGCGCATAGCCCAAGAATTTAGTGATCCTATGTGGATTTATTAGCCACCGTAATATGATTTTGCCCAACTGTCTGCTGACAGGATACTAACATGTACTTAGTTATTTCTAGCCCGACCTTTCTACTAGATTCTAGTAAAAATTCCGTGTTCCTAAATCAGTATTATTAGACAAAACGACTTTAATGTTTCTGTGATACATACTCACCTTCCTTCGACTGAAGTAATGTACAAATTGATAAACCAGTCTAATGAGTATTGATACATGGGATTGAGATTTGGGAGGTCGGTGATGCAATAATATAGAATAGAGGAGTAGCAGGCAATTGGCTTGTAGCTGTGACGGAAAGTTTCAATATTCAGTGCAATTTCCTTAGCTGCTGAATCCTTCCTTGTGATATCGAGAGCCAGGAGCTATAAAAGCAGAACGCCAATAAATTATTCTTATTTCTAACTGAGTGTTATCACATTCTGAATATATATGTGGAAACGTGTTACAATAACAAAATAATCAACAGAGTAAAGCCTAACCCAGTACATGGGTTAAGTTCCTCAAGGAGAGTGTGTTGTGTAAATTTGCATTTGACAAACTTAATAACTTATGGGTTAAATGGGGACACATGAATGCGGTCGCATAGTCTAGATACATAAATGTTTGTAAACGTCAACTCACCCACCTCCTCGTCTTATAACCTCAAAACCCTCAACCCCTCTTTGCCTCTTGCAAACTTCACAATACCAGAAATGTCCTTCTGTGAGGGTTCAGGCTCTCATGGTGGCAGCCATGAAGATAGCCTTCTTCTGGGAAGTTGCACAATGTACTCTGACAGAAGTTCACTGATGTTTCAGAGGTGCATGCTGCCTCCATTATCAGGACTCATTATGGAGGCAGCAAGCACCTCTAAATCATGGGTAAACTCTTAGCAGACTACACGGCACAACATTCCAGATGACAGCCATCTTCTTTCTCATTGGTCGTAAATCCCTTACAGTCATTCATGATTTCTGGCCAGAAACAATCCCAGCATGCATTCGTACTACATGTGTTCACATCATCCCATGCCATGAAGTTCTTGATGTCGCATTCTTTCCAAAATTGCTCTAAGTTATCAAAAGCATCAGAGTTTATAGCTTGGACTGCACGCCTATAGGCATTTAAAATGCAATAAAACTGCATACTCATATATTAAAAATTTCCATATTTAGAATACAACTGTTCACATTTATTCCGGTGTGCATAAGGGCAAAACAAATTGCAATTCCATTACAGACACTGTTGGTGTCCGTGTGCCGTCAAGGCAAATAAGAGAATTTTCTACTTTTAGTGTGTGCAGTGCGCTTAGACATAGTCCTTCAGCCAGGTGTGTCATTGCTGCAAACGACGTATGTAAATTTTTGGACGTATTTGGCATAAACATTGTATCTTTTGAGGGCACTTTCTCATTAAGAGAAATGATCTAGAGAGTGGTCTAGATTGGTGATCTAGCTTGGTTATTTGTTTTAATTTTATTATTGCTTTTATTTTGTTTCCTTGTGTTGTTTTAGTATTTTTTTTAGTGTTTTACATTTTTATTAGTGTTTACATTGGTAGTTTATTTGTTTTTGTATCTAATTTGTATTTTTTGTTGTACTTTTGTATTAGTGTTTGCCTGTCATAGGCTCTTTGCTGTTAGCAAACACTCTAATAAAGGAATTGAATTGAATAATGCACAATCAACAAATGCTTGTTGGACAAGCGTTTACTGTAAACCATTAGTATTTTTATTCTTAATACAAATGATATGACAGTGCATTAAATAATAGTATTTACGGTAAAGTATCTGTTACATGTGGTACTTGTACGACTAAACTTCACCCAGCTTTATCAGCATACCTTCGATGAATCCAAAACTTCAATGGCAGATTCATCCTCCAAGATATTTCCCTTTGTCTGAGACAAAGTTATCAAGATGTTATCTTCAATTTCCTTCAGTGCTTTCTTGTTAGCAGCACTTTGAACAATAAGGTTTTTTCGTTTATCTTCAAGGTCAGGTCTGTAAAATGGAAAATCTTTATGGCAAGAAATAAAATAAATTGAAAAGGACTGAGCCAGCTGAAAATTTAGCTGATCTCCTGCAAAGACTGTTCTTCCTCCTCACAAGATTATTTCTATTCCTCACACTCCAACCAACTTCAACTAACAGTGACTCAGTCAATCAAGAAATATACAATTTCTAATTCCAACAATTTTATGTAAGGCAGACAATCTAATGTCTTGTATGGTACATTAGAGAAGAAAAAATGTTTCTTTTAGTGACAGCATTCAGGAAACCTTTTTGTGAGATTTTAATTTTTCATATTATCCCACAAGGATCAGGTTTCTCTCCACCTGGGGTGGGGGTGGGGGGGTGGTGGAGTGGAGAGAAACCTGATCCTTATAACAACTTTGACTCAACCACCCTAATAATACTGGTTGAATCATAGAAATTATGCAGCTCCTTAGAATGTAACTGTATCGATCCATCCATCTGTTGTCTCCTAGAACCCTGTTATGAAATACTTTTAACCTATACATGCAGCGTAGAATGACAGACCAAAGCAGTACACATAGTTGTGTTACATTTGAAGGTACATATTTCCAGATGGGGGTTGAGAAAACAGACGTTTTATGAATGAAATGGTACAAAGCCTTCCCCAAATTTTATATTCTTGTAATTTTTCCATGACTTCAGTTTTGACTGGTACTAAAATTACAAAATATGTGAAGTCTATCTTTCCCCCACATGCATGTGCACAAAGTATTTTAGTATTAAAGTAATGGTGCATTTATAGATGCAGTTCCATGCAAATTGAATAGGTATGGCAGTAGTTAATGGTGATTCCAAGAATTCAACTATGAAATACGCTTTAAATACATAAAATTACTAACTCCATATATTACCTTTCCTTCGCTACTACAATTCCAAGCAGCTGATCCTCTAGTCCTTCCAAAGCTAGCGCAAAATTTACTATGGTGACAACGCTGTACACTTCTGGTAGAAAATGAGGTTTCCTCAGTTTCGAAGTGAGATAGAATCGAAAATGATCACTGTATTCCCAAACAGTTTCACCAAGACGTATGTAGGTCCCGCCAGCTGAAAAGATGACACAAGTGTTTGCCAGTTAACACCAATATAATTCCTGTCAGGAGTCTGCTCTAAAATTGTCTAAATGAGTTAATATTTTGTATCAAAAGAACTTTGTGACAGTCGTCCTGGATTCCAAAATGTTGGCCACAGTTTATTTTGAAATGACTCCATTATAATAAGATCTCGCCTCTACTTTGCTCATGATACATGAATCCCACTACAGCGCAGACAATGCAGAATAAAATAATTTTAAAATAATGCAGTACTGTCCACTGTTCCTCTTACTGCAAAGTCTAACGCTACAGGAACTGCAAGAATTGTAAAAATTAAATTCCACTTATAAGACAGACAGGAACTTCAATAATAAAGCATTATGCATGGCAGCGTCTTCTCTTAACGCATTCTGAAAAGCCTGCAGATAACTGTAATTTCTTCCACATATATTCCCTCTCACCACCTCATTTTTAAGCAGTCAGTAATACTACAATAAACCAATTTGTTATTGCCATAAATATAAATATTGCATAATTTGTGTCCAGTTCTGGCAGTCAGGCGAACAAGGGTTAATGGACAGATGAAGTGACATTTTTCTCACTAAACATTAACAGGTTAACAAATGACAGAATTTCCTAAAAATCAAAGTATTTATTCCCTACATACTTAAAAAAAAATTGTCAAGAAATGGATGTCGCTAAGAAGCAATATGCAAAGAAACATTTGTGTTTTACTGTGTATGTGGTAAGTTACAAATAATTGCATGCTAACACCTTGCAGTTACACTGTATTTTGAACCCATCAGACAATTTGATTTAAAAGTCACTGAAATCCTACATATATACATTTGAAATGGTGGCAGTAATTTGAATTTATTGCATCCTACTGCATTATTTTTGCCTTAGGGTTTAACCATGCATAAATTCAATTATGATTCCAAGACGATGATGATCTGGGTTTCGGCACAGCGTACACTTGTCAGTAGGTGCCAACATTTCATAAGTATGTACTGTATCCATCTTCTGGGCCAAAGATGGAGACAGTATGTTTCTCTGAAATGCTAACATCTATTGACAAGTCTATATAGCACTAAAATCCAGAGGAATGCTGGAGATGGAGACAGTACATTTCTCTGCAGCACTGTCATCTACCAACAAGTCTACACAATACCAAAACGAAAAGAACTGGGACAACCTTTTATCAGGTCTACCATATAAGGTCACTGTTATTAAAAACAAATTATTTATTTTTTATACCTTGACAAAACACCTGTTTCTTGAGGAGGGGCTTTAGGGCAGCTTCCATCTGCTCACCTACATTCTCTAGTAGCACAGGATTGCCCAACTGAATGGCACTTTCAATAGTCTTCATGTAATCATGGTCAGAGAACTTAATAACTTGTAAATTATGTTTCCTCTCCATAGTTTTTATCCATCTGTTTGCTTGCCCTTCAGGATCGACAAGCAGCGAATATCTGTAACAAGAAACGACAATTATTTTTCAAGCAAGATAGATACCACATATTTTCTATACAAAGTTTTATCCATTTGTTGGCCTGCCCTTAATGATCTAAGAACACTGAATCTCTCTGACACACAAAAGAATAATCACCTATTTTCTTCTTAAGTGTTCACCATGCAAGATCAGTAAAAGGGATGTATAATGATGGGACTGCATCTGTCCATTTATTCGCCTTTATGTTTAATTCCAAGGCTGAAATTTGGTTCCATAGGTCTGAATTAAATGTTCTACAGCGACCTTATTTTTTGGTTCACACTGGTCAAACAGAGACTCTAATTGATGTGAAGCGAAAATCGAACTCCACTGAATTTCTCTCATTTAAACACAACACAAAATGCAGAAAGCATTCAGATCCTCAACCTTTATCTGCATCGTCTTTAAAAGTGATGAGTATTCAATCAAAGCAAAAATAATTTCAGACAGTAGTTAGGGTGAATTAGCATCGCAGTAAACATAATTGAACTGAGCAACTGGCATTCATTAGTCCTCTTGCAAATTTTAATACGAAATTCACTAGAAAATTATGAAACAAAGTATGTCTGTTTGCTTTGTTATCGGTCTTATGAAAAGAAGTCAAAACTGAAGGAAATCTGTACATCTATAAACACACATTTTAAAATGTCTGCTCAGCACTGACAAGCAACATACTTGTTGGAATGAACGAAGTACTTTTGCTGCTTTTGTTGATCATTGCTGCTTCTCTCACCTTCAGCAGTGGCTGATTCCAGTGTCTCAGTAAATGTCAAACAGAATATCTCAAAGGCAGCTACGAAACAGTAAGTCAAATGCTATACATTCATTAATTTCCAGTCGATTCTTCTATTCTCTTTGTTTTTAATTAGTTGAATTACATTTGTATAGATCACTAATATTTGATAAGGAGACTCATGTTTTCACAACTAATAATAACATTACTAACACATTTGTATGTTGACGGAACAGGGTCTATTTGAGCTCCTGAAAATTTTGGGATGAACAATATCAAGAGATCAGTTTTATGGTATCCATTTTGCAAAGTAGCGAAACACGTCAATCTGTTACTTTTGGCCAAGGAATACGAGTTTTTACTTGTGCTACACATTACTTTTAAATGATCAATGTGTGCTGCTTACCTTAGCAATGCAGCTGGGAGTTACAAAATTCTTACTGAGTGAGACGTCAGGTAGTCACGGCAAGTATGAAGATAACTGACCCCTGAAATATCAGTTGATTTCTACAGGACTACAAGGTCCAGCATCATAGAAGTCAGTCATCTTGAATATTCCTATTAATTTACCTATTCCTAAAGCAATATAGAGAGTTCTAGAAGTATAAAACAAAATGAGTAATGAACTTCACTTTCAGAAAGGTAGATTTACACTAAAATACAGAGACATACATATACCTTCTGGACATGTCAACGATAATTGCATTTTCAATTGAAAATGAATCCATTGGTAGTCCTGCAATATTCCAGTTCTGAATCTTCATGTCTGAACCTAGAACGCTCTGGAAATTAAATACTCTTGAGCATGGAATATTCAGCTCAATTATATAAGTCCGCCAGTCTTCTACACACTCATTCCTGTAAACAGATCAATGTACTTGGAATAAAATAAACAAACTTCAAGATGCTCAATAACAATAATTATGATGATGATTTGCATTGGGGATTCTAACAAATAGATGATTCATGAACCCAAATGTGTTTGGCGATAGTTCCTACGAAATTATTTTGAAACCTTTTGCTCCTGCGCACAAATGTTTCTGTTGTGACATCCGTTCTTTTTTCTCTCCTTCTCTTCATACCCTTTCTGCTCCTACATGGAGCGTAGGGGCCTCCTTTCAGAGGTTTCTTGATCTATTTAGACATTTGGTAGGTCTCCTTGGATGAGTGATCAGCCTGTACCAAGGCCTCTACCTGTACACAGGACAGCACAACACAGAAAGACGTGGACAAAAATCCATGCCTTGATTGGGATTCGAACCCATGGCCCCAGTGTCCAAGCACACGAGGTCCACACCTCAGACAGCATGGCCACTGTGACTGGCATCAGTTCTTTTACACCCAGTAGAAGATAAATAAATAAAACCATCTAGAGGTATTTATGTGTGGCATATTTAATGATGCCAACAGTAGCTCAGGCCACATAGTATCGTATGATAGGATAAATTAATCTTATGGGATTTGGAAGGAAACAGTCATGGCCTAATTTGTCATTTAAAAACAAACTTTTCCTTATGAACAAGTGTCCTTTATAATTCAGCATTTCTTTTTATGTTATTATTATTATTCTTTTTCCTTTATCTGTCACCCTTGTTACCAAATTGTTTTGTACAAATTTTTATTTTGTATAACATAAATTGAATTGTCATATTATGTGTGCGCACACACATAACACTTTAGCTTACAAAAAGCTTCTGAACTGTTAAGATCCTTATGGAGGAATGGTGAATGGCACACGAATGTGGAATTAAGATATGATGGATTGAAATGATATGTTGAATATAATACAATAAAAAAATTGATACAATATCAAAGTGATATAAGTTACCTGTATGAAGTGGTGAACGGGGACAGGTAGGCAATGATACCGCAACAAATAAGGATATCTCCCGCAAGTGATTCATAATTTTCTTGCAAAGCATTGGCAGCCGATGCCCAGCGAGCCTTCTCTCCCCCAAGTCCACCTGAGTAGAAAATGTACTTTTAGGAGACTTGAAACTTTCACAATTTATAACATTTTAAAAATGTGCATTTTGTTTAACTTGTGTCACAATACAGTATTACTGCCCTCCTTAGGGAATGTTTGTGCCCTACATTCAAAAGGTTTGGGCATGATATGAGGTAAATGGAGTGGGATAAGTCACTTAATTTTGTTTTAAAGCTTCACAGTAGAATGAAGCAAATTTAAAATACTTATTACCATATATAATATAGAAATATTTGCAGCAACTGTTTTTATTCACATCTATAACTTAATTTTACATATATTTTTAACTTTTTAAATCCCAATGGTAACCACACATATGCCCCACGTACTTCAACATTCAGCAAATCTACATTTTGTATTTATTGATTACACATGGTCCTCATAATGAACAGTGATTATTTCCACTGTAGTGTTTAAATGTTGTATTTTCATCGTGGTACAGACTGAATTCTTAAATGTTAGTCAAGCTTTGGCTTCAAAAGGTTAACCTGTATCAGACCATCACTGGTCTCATTCGGTGAAACGCACGGAAGTAACACAGCTCAATTCATAGCAAAGAAATACATGGACAATAAGCAATGCAGCAAGAATTTCATAAAAGTTTTAATGTATAAAATTACACTAGTGAAATAAACTCGGGTGGGTTGCTTTGGCAGCAAACGTTAAAATATGAAAATATGGTATTACAAATGCACCAAAGAATAAATTTGATATATTTTACAAATTTTATTCATAGTAATAGCCATCACCAAAAAATTAGCTTAAGAAGAGACGAATGTGGTAACTCACCAATTAACTTCTCTGCTCTCACCAGTTTGTTTTCACATAGATGGACTTCATCTTCAAGCTCTTTCTTATGTTTATTAGCCTCTTCCAGCTTCTGACGTAATTCAGCTAACTCCGTCTCGAGCGTCTGCAGCTGGGATCTTTTTTCTTCCAATAAGGCCATGGTATCATTGTACTCTGCCTCTGCTGCTTCAAACTTTGCCTTTTTTGGGGCTGCTTCCTGCGCGAAGTTAAACGCAGATCTCTTTTATCTCAAATATACACGCCATCAAGAAAAAAGGGTACGCAACAACTGAAAATATTGCCACCTTGAAATGACTATAAACTATAATGAAGTTCGCTGTATCAGAAAAACTTGTACACAGTATTCACTGGGAAGAATAAGAAAATACAATGCACAGTCTTGATGAATCTGTCGAAGAAAGACCCTGCTCACAAGTGACTGGGCAACAGTAGGATATGAGTTATAACATAATGAATTTTACTAATGTAGCATTATCAGGCAAAAGGAGGTTACAATGGATTAGACATGCAGCATGCATAATGAATTTTGGTGAGAAAAATCCTTGGATGGTGCCAGTTGGGACTGTCGTGATGTGAAATGGGACGAAACAGCAATAGCGGTTTAGAATGTAGCGTGTTATTGTTTCATACCTTTGCTACTCTGTCGTACATGTCCATGGCAATCACCCACTTACACAGGCCTTCAGCAGCACTAGAAGCCTTGGACACAACACTGGGTTTGAAGTCCTTATTTGGAAGATACTCAGTTCTGATTTTCTTCATTATGGCATGAGGAATATTATCCTTATCAAAATCGCTAAAAGACTGTAGAAAGTACATATCTCCTAGCACCCTTTTGCTGGGCCCCCAATAATCATTTACCTGGATAAACAAGAAGGGGAAAAATCAATCGCCATTCCAAGACTGAAATTAGTAAGAAACTAAATAAATTAAGGGGTCTTGTCTGTAAATCAGAATTTTGATACTCATGTTTACAGATACTGTAATGAGTAAAATTCCATTGAAATAAACCTTATTTGGCCAGAAATTGATGAAAATGTACACAAAATACCGTAAAATACATTATTTTGTATGAATATACAATTGCATTAAACTGATATCCACTTAGTTTCCTTTAAAAACAAGGCATCATCTTTCAGTGGAAACTTAACCCATAAACACTTTGAAATTCAAACACGTTTGCTGTATAACAGCACTTAATGCATCCGCAGACAGTTTTATTCTCACATGCATTGTGCTGTCTGTTCATTGCTACGCCCAATGTACACGATTGATGAATTTGACTTACACGTGTGAAAGTAACAATGCATAGACTAATATGTATTGAAAAGTTTTTAATTGTTCAGAGAACACTTAGAATGCCATTTATTTAAACTCGTTTTGTATACTAATGTTAATTTTAAACGTATGTTGACTAAATCAAGGTTTTGTGGCAGGAGACGGAACAGATTGCATGGTAAGTGCTCCGGTCTGGCTAGTGTCATGTTGCCAGACCACTCAAACTGAATATAAAACAAATATTATACCATATAACAAAATAGTGGCATGTTATTACTGTTATTGTGTGTGATGTTATGTTAGATAGTAAATTGTATTTTCACTATCATGTTGATTTGCACAGTCTCAGGCCATAAGGACATTGGGACTCAATCATGTTATTATTAATAATCTCTCTTCTTTAGACGGTTTAGTTGTTTCAAATATTACTTTAATTAAGTCAAAGCTAGAGTATGCCTCTGTTGTCTGGAATAATTTCACATCGATCGACTCCGATAAAATACAAAATATACAAACAAAATTTGACAGTTTGTGCTGTTATTTCACATCTTACATAATTATTATTTAATACTGAGCCACTTAAATTTTAAAACACTTTATTTCAGATTATGTCACCTGAGTGATTTATTTCTTGTTGAAGTTGGTATTCATGAAACTACAAGGCAAATAAGAGAATTTTCTGCTTTTAGTGTAGGCAGTGAATTAAGACATAGTCCTTAAGCTATGTGCACCGACGCTGCAAACACCATATAAACATTTTTAGACATTTTTGGCAAAAAAATATCAAAATAAAGAACTGAACTGAAAATACTTTAGCACTGTGGTGCAATTGTGTGTGTGTGTGTGTGGGGGGGGGGGGGGGGAATAAAATAATGACCTGTCTTCCATTGCTGGCCAGTGCATACAGCATTTACTTTCTGCTGCAGTGAGCAGTACTACTCTTTAGCTGCATATTCAGGTAACATTACTCTGAATCGCAGCCCTAATTTCTACAGCACACCAGCCCTGTCGATAAAGTAAACAAATCTATAAGGACCAAGAGCGCTGACTCCTCCTAATATCCAGGATTTACCAGACACATAGGTAAGAAGGTTTATGGAATTCCAGTTTCCATAGCAGATCATCTCACCATTCTACCTGTAACAGGATCATTAATTCTGTCTGGTTTCACGCCTTTCATTACACAAACTGCAGCCATCACCAACTTGATTGCATCTGGTGGATTTTTCATGGATTTCACCAATGTAATATCCGTGGGTTTCAATGTGTTCAGCGCAGCGACCGTATCTATAAGAATGTATAAGATTCACTTAGAATTATGTGTGTAGTAGTTTCTCATTTATTTATGTACATGTTCGTGTCTCATCAGCAGACCACAGGACAAAACCATTATATATAGATACTTAATAAATCCTTTAAAAATGTGACAAAGTTCAAATACTACATGCTTCTCAAGGACTCTGCTCCGCGGAGTGAATTGTGTTAGTTCGTTATGATTACTTAGTCACGTAATCATTTCCTTTCCACAAAAGTTTCAATGGAACATTAAAAACTTTCACACTTTGTTCTAAATCTTACAGAACCAGAATACAGTAAAGTACAGCGTAATGAGTGTAGCTGGTAATGAGAAGTCTATTTCTACGAGTATTTTACATACATTGCCAATGTGATAATATTGACAACAGAAATTTTTTATTGTAATGAGAATGCCATTTTGTTACAGTTTACATTAAGGGCATATCTGACTGCTTTCTACAGTCACATCTGCTAATGTGGCACAGTCACAATCTGATCATTTCCTCTATGTGATTTTGACAAAGCCATTGCACAGACGTATATTTCTGGTCATTTTCCATCGCCTATGTTTGATGTTGTATCTTACCTTCCAAAATAGGTACTGTTTGAGCTAAGTCAGCTTCACATTCATTCTTCAATTCCTGAGCTGCGGCAGCCTGCAGATTGGCAACTTTCTCATCTGCCCGAACTTGAGCAGAAGCGGTTGCGACTTTGACTGTCTCCTTTTCAATCTCTATCATCATATCCTGTGTCTTGTTAGCTGCCAGAACTAACTGCGGTTTCAAGTCTGAGAGCTGTCTCTGCATAGCTGTAACCTAAACCATCAACATCATTAATATCAAGAAAATTACATTCCAAACTTAATTTAAACTGTAAATAATGAAAACCACATTTCTGTACGAAGTCCCTAATATAATGAGTCTTACTTGTTCAGCTGCAAAGAGTAACCTATCCACTCCACCAACATATCTCAGTTTTGCATCCATTATCTCATCTTGTTTTGCATTGGTCAATTCCGTGTATGAACGGATCAGGTCAATGTATGCTGCTGAAGTTATATAAGTCTTTCTGCCTTCTTGCATGAAGAATGTATCAGACACGGACCTTGAAAACCAAGAAAAATAAACACAACGATAATACATTTGAATAAAATTTATTATTACATTTAAAACATATTTTCATGGACACACACTGTGGCAGTAACTACAAAATGACTACACATTAAACAAGGCAAAGACGGGAATGTTAAGTTTGGAAATAGCAGTAACACAAAAAAATCACAAGGATATGAAGAAATTTCTGTCGGTATAATTAAAGAAGCAGGACCAAGTGGGTATTAAGGAAAATTTAGACAGAAAACAGAACACCAAAGGAAGAATCATTGTCCCAGTTCACAAAAAGGAGACAGGAAAGTGAGAAATTACATTCTTGTGCCACATATTCAAAATTTACACAAAATACTAATAAACATAATGACACTATAGGTTCATTCAAATGTGCTGACCATGGTGATTCCTCTTTATATTGACAAGTTTGTTCACCATGAATTTGTCTCGCAGAGTAAAACTGTTATTCAGCACATCTATAAGAGTGTCTTACAGTTTCTACAGGAGGCTGTCAAGCTTAAACATCCAGGAAAATGGGGCACAGGTCACCGGCTGCTTCATCACGACACTGCCACTGCTGGTTCAGTTCCGCCCTTGTCCCATGCGATTTCCTCGTTCAACAAACCTAACCTTCTGACTCTCAACATTTAAAGTTTCATATCTAGTTTTCCCTTTCTGTTGTATACGTCATTCAAAACAATCAGTTCAAGTCGGAGGCCCTGTGAAACATTTTTTAACATGGAGGTTGTTTATGGTGGGGTGTCATTAGCCATCATCAAACCCTTAAGCTGGAGGACCATCCCTTTTCAGATGTCCAAAACTGCTTATTTAATTCATTTTAAACACCCCTCCAAACATGAAAGTCTTCTCCTCCATCCAGAGCCTGAGTACAAGCCTTACCATTGTGACAAGAGACGTATTTAATATAGTGACATAAAAATGTAAAGTTAAAAGTAATATAATTTTGCCTGTTGTTTAGTATGAATTCAAACCTTGGTTTCTCACATTAAAGGAAGAGTAGAGTTAGGACTGAAGAGAAATAAAGTGACAGAAGAATGGAGAAAAATGCACAATGAGAACTCCATAAACTGTACACTTCCCCATATATTACCAGAACGATCAAATCAAGGAGGATAAGATTGGTAGGTCATGCAGCAGGCATGGGGCAATGAGAAATGCATAAGAATTTTGGTTGGAAAGTCTGAACAAAAGCTTCTCAAGGAGGACTCCGTTGCATGGAGTTACAGTAACCACTAACCACAGCTGACACAATCACATGCACAGTTTTGTTTACAACACTGTATCTGAACTTCAGTTACCTCATGCTGACGTGCAAATATCTGCAGGCTATTACAGCTGCTTTCTTAACGTCATCACTGACATTGAGGTCAGTCATGTACCTCAGCGCAACCATCTCCAAAGCCTCTTCAGGCCAAGTCTGTAAATATAAAGAAGTATATGTAGAATTTTCCAGTACTAATAATTTGTAATAAAAATCATTGTATTTTTCTCATTTCCCTTACATGTCTATGTTAGGAAAACTAAATTATGACTTGAATATGCTACTTGTAAGTGACGAAAAAGCATATACAATTAACTGTATGTCTAATTTAGTTATTTCATTTATTTCAAGGAGACATTAAACAGTGTTTCTCAGTATTTCTTCTCTGTCAACACCCTTCCTCAGACGAACAGGATTTTGCAACTGTATGCAACACTCTTTTACCAAAAGACACAATGGTGCTGTGTAACACCTCAGAGGAGGATAGAAAAAAGAATAAAACAAAAGAAAACCACTGAAATCACGTGGGCAACGCTCCATGACATCCATTGTGATCAACCCCCTTGCTAGTTAAACCCACAAAATTATAAACACTGACCTAACATGTTAAGTGAATCATATTTTAT